ATTTTATATAAAAACAATATAAATATAAATAAATATTGCAATGTTTCATGATAATACTTGTACTGGTTCTTGTAGACTATTATTAAGGGGCTTTACTCACTAGTGCAAGCTCTAATGCTCACCAAATCTATATCACTAAATCTAAATGTAGTACCTCTATCTCCAGAGAACTTGCTTTTATTACATGGCCAACTGTACAATTTAATCCGAGATTCTCTACATGCATTTACCATCTCTTGACTGGACGTCAAAATTGACGAATTGTAAAAAGGACACCAGTAATGAACCATCTCAGATCCATTTTAGTGCACAAAACCTTCAGCAATTCAACAAGTGCTTAAGTTGCTAACTCGTAAGGAAGATAACTGGCCTTGGCAGATGATAACATGAAGTCTATTGCTGATGTGGAGCAAAGGTAGAAGTACATCGGGTATTCGTAAGGGAATATAACGTTCCTATTAGATTGTAGACTTATTTTCCAACTGCGATGCTTATTTCAAATTTTCATCAAAGACCACATGAGCCAATAAGTCTATGACGCTCTCACTTAGAATAAGTTCGCCTAAAATACCGCATTAGCGGCATCCCCGGCACATATTAAAAGGATTATAATTTTATCAATCCATTCTCTCAATAATAAACATTCTGCGACAGAATAAAAGCAAATAAGTTAGATCTCATTTTGAATCATCCACAAAGTGATTCGCACTCTTCCGTTGGATCGTTCCAGGTTTATCTGCTGTTATATTACATGCATCATGAAAACAGGTAACACTCCACAGTAATGACACAAACTTATCTTCTTTTATTGTTAATTCCAAAATTGTCCTCACGCCTGATATTACGGTTTATGTCAAACGTAATCGCCTTCAATTGTGATTAAATATGTAAAGTAGGTAAATATATGGATTGATCTCTTCGCAGCCCAAGCCATCCGGTTACGTAATATTATTGTTAACAAATTTGTTTATTGTCTAGTATACGACAGATTGCAAATAAAAACAGCAATTAAAAAAAATGTGATTATAATTTGCTTCTGGTTTGTATAATTCAATTTAAACCAACTCAACGACTGTCAATGTTAACCATAAACGCGAGCAAAGTTGAAACTGCTGTCTCTTCGAGGTTAATTTTTCTGCACTGCGTAGGCAACGGCGTCAAACAACTTGCAAATACTTCATATAAGTTTCCCAACTCTGAAGATATATATGTATATATACTGATGAATAGTTTTGCGCTTATGTATCCGCAGTTTCAAACTTAGGCCATAACTAACTGTTATGCCACACTCTCTTTCAACTGGTAAATGTCACTAAAGTTGCTATTATTCTGTTATAATAATGTGTCTCAAATAAATTTAACTATTCTATGTGTGCCTTAAGCTCTACAGCTTTAGTTATTAAGTAACTCTTATAATTATTGTCTCTCATTCTACACAATACTGTCATATATTACAATAATATGATATGTAAAAAATAAACTGTTATCTTAGTTTGCTTGTATACTAGTATAACAGGTGATAAACTATTATACCAGTATAAGATTCACATATCTAACGGCTTAGCTCATAAGTTTATTTATGCAAGCCAACAAGCCGAGCTTCAATGTTTATAAACAAATCTTATAATACCGTAATACTGTTTACTTAAATTAATATACTTAGATTAACAGATACGGCTGTAATTTCTTAACATTGGTTGAACAACTGTTATACATATAAATGAAACTGAAAATGAAAATGAAAAAATGAAAACAGATTATTTTAAATTCAAATGAATTATTTAATAACGTATTTGAACTTAATCGGTTATCTGTTTTATGCTAGGAAATAGAGTGCTTTGTTTCAAAGTTGGTAACTGTATGAGCCCACTCTTCGAGTAAACTTTCTTTTTCGGCTACGATACGCAACAAGTTTTTAGATATTTTAACAGACATTGCTTGGGAGCTTAACCCTAACCATTGCTGCCACACTTCAAAATTAGCCATATTAAACAAGGGCCACATTTATGGGCGTTACCCAGCTGTCAATCTGTCAGTTGACTCTGACATTTGAACGCTGTGTACCTGACCTTTTCATACACACGAATAGAAAGAGACCGAGAGGGCGACAGAGAGAGAGTGAGAGAGAAATAGAGTGAGAGGGGGAGCTGTGCTTAGAGGGTTGACAACCCTAAACTGTGTGCGTGTGTGCTTTGCGCTTTTGTAATTGTTTCCTAATGAGCTCTATAACAACTCGTCAACCCGGCTCAGCGCTCAACCCTCAATCTATACCCGCTACGCCGCTCGAGCCATCCATCAAGCAATGTCGTTGGTTATCATCGGGCGCCGTTTATCATTCACTCATTGGCAAAGAATACAACAAAAGACAATAAATTATGGCCAGCGATTTGTAAACAACAAGAAGTCAGACAAACTGACCTCGGCTCAGGGTATACTCGAATATAGACCCTGAATCGTCCCATAAATAAACTGCTGGCCAAATATAATTGAAATATTTGCTGTCAATGTGTTGACTTCCGCTCCGGCTGTAGCTCCGGTTATGGCCCTGGCTACAGTAACGGTCTTCCTCTCACCCGGAGGCGAAGGTGTAAACTGTATAAATGGCGGCTCGTTATGGCCCTGGTTAACCCACACACACACACACACACCCAGATAGTCTGCATCAGCGTCCTCATCGATGCTTGATAAATGTTCGGAAATATATCTCTTTACAGCTGCTCTATACTTTGGCTGTGTACAAGTCCTGTGCGTGGCCAAGAAATCATTATGGCTTAACGTGGAATTAAGTTATAAAAGCGGTTTAACGAAGAGTAATTCAATGAGGTTGTTTTCATATTGCATTTCGGATTTTTATCTTAGTTAAGAACATGGACTTACATGGACATGGACTTACAATAGACTAATCCTATAAAAATACAAGTTATAATAATAAATTAGAATTAGAATATTATAAGCATTCAAGTTCAATCTATTATGAATTATGGTCATTTTAATTTTCAATCATTAAAAAAATATTTTGTTACGGTTTTTCTGACTAGGTAGATATATATTTATATATATATATATATATTATATTTATATATTTATATATATATATATATATATATATATATATATATATATTTCAATATATAGTCAAACAGCTCATAGACAAAACGAAATGTTCTCTTTAATGTTTTTAATATTAATATTTTTCGGTTCGTTTAGAATTTTGAGGAATATAAAAAAGGAAATGTATGTGCAATTATCGGTGGGAATACCGTTTATATGACAATGTTTTTTCAGCAAGTTAGACTATGTAGTCTTTTACAGCCCTATTAGACATGTGTATAATTGAAGCAGAGTTCCATTGACTATATTCAATCTCTTCTTTAAGAAACTTTCGAGTCAACTTTTTCGTATATGTATGTGACATATGCTGTTTGGAATAAGACACGCTTTCCCCTGCTCCAAATACCCTTCTTTTACCCACCGCCTCTCCTATTGGCGATAAAATACAAATAAATTTTGGTGTTCGGCAGCCATAAATTATATTCAGTTCAGCCTGAGCACACGTGTTACACAGAGCTGAGCTAATAACGGGACAGTGTCCGTCTATATACCCCACCCTGCCCCTTAGATGTAGGCTATGTTTTCTATCTGTTCTTTCTCTCTCTCTCTGCCATGTTGTGTTTTTTTGGCTACAGTTCCCCTATAAATATTTGCGCAATAAATTTTTTAATCTTGTCGCTTTAATCGTCCAAATGGCGCACACATAGAGATTATATCCGGGGCTCAAGTCCGGCGACCCCTTGGCACCAAAATCAATTTCACTATCGTTTGACCATTGTCTATGGGTGGGGTCAAATGAGGGATCGACTTTTTTACTAGCTAGCTTCCGCCTAAAAAATTCAATAAAAAACAACATATATACACACATATATATATATATATATATATATATATATGTATGTTTTTATGTGTATATGTACACATATATTAAGCATATTTGTGAGGCGCAAAAATATTTATGTGCTGTGCTGCATTTTATGCGTTGTCCAACACTCAATTACCATAACGGCAAATCACAGCCAGCACTGTCCATCTCGCTCTAACGCATTTTTGCATATAAAACACATAAAACGAACATGTCGTAGAGAATTGTTCACGATTTCTTGACCGGAACCAATTTTCAATATGGACTGGTTTCCTCATGTCATTTTCTCGATTCCCTGTTGTTGTTGCTGCCATTTTTTTGGTTAGCAAATGTGCCGCGCATTAAATTTTATAGCATATGCCAGTCCTAACCTCAAAGTGTTTGTGCTGCCTTAACCTCAAAATTGTTATTTGCACATTTTGATTAATATATGCTGAGCAATCCAGGAGCTAATAAGATAAATTCTGAATGCTTAAAGGGTGCTTAAATTAGACAAATTGTGTCTGCGCCGAGGGTAGAAAATATTAATAGATAACTTTAAATATAATATTATATATAATATAATTAAATATAATATATATTAAATATAATATTATTAAAAATAATATATATTAAATATAATATTATTAAAGCTAATTATTTTTAATTTAAATAATAGAGTTTCTGTTGCCACCACCCAAAATTTTATACATTAAGGACATTGTACCAACGAGTAAATGTTTCAAATTTCAGTTTCTGGTTGCAATAGCAAAGAGATTGGGATAGACGAACGGACAGACATTGCACAAAACCAATATACTCTTTTCAGTTCTTGAACGAGTATAAAAGTATAAACTTGATACTCAGTAGTTTTAGGAAATAGTTCATGACATAATATAACCAAGCGACTACAATCAAACTGCAGTAGCACATGAGATATAGTAATTATCGACTTGACACTCCTTATGGAAAAATCTTTACATTTTATAAGAGAGGCAAATTTTTTGCGTTTATAGATAGGTGGATAAACCAGTTACTGATATACTCTTGTCACTATAAAAAACTGGTTGTATTAATATATATATTTATACATGTATTTTCGACATATTGTGTTTTTATTTTATATATTTAAAAAAATGCACAAATCAACCAATGAGTATCTCACAATTAAAAGGAGCTTTTATCAAGAAGGGCACCTGCTTCCTTAAGTCTTTAAAAATATCCAAGTGAACCAGTGTGTTAATCAAAGATAAAGCCCAATTGCTCCATATCCTTTTGAATTTCGCTTTCCGCGCACTGCTGCTCCAGCATATCCAACCAAAGTGTATACAGATAATCCTCATGCAGTCCGCCATAGCTAAGGATTAGATGTAACATATTTATAAATATAAATGAAGTTCAGTTTTGGGTAAATTTGTAAAGCTAATGAAGAACACACCGCTTGGGCAGATGCTCCGGATAAATATGTTTGTGCAAAGAACTCATATCGCTGCCATGTATATAGAGCTTTTCTCGCATGGAGGCATTGAGAAAAGGCTTGAAGATCTTAAACGCCGCATTGAAGAGCCAGTTTTGATTTACTATATGTAGAGCTGCCGTACGTATGGGCATGGAGGTCTACAATGTAGAAAAGGGGATGAGGCTAATGTGAAGTATTCTAAAACTCTCACTTACTACTAGTAATGCAATCATTTTCTGTGCCACACTGGGACTCAGGTGCAGCATATGCTCCAGTCCTAGATCCTTTAAGTCAAATATGGCCACACCACCCATTATCTGCGAGATGGGCTCAAGGGAACCTAATTCTTGTAGAATTATAGTTGCGCGAAATATGTCGTCTACAGTCACGCGATTTGGTCGCCAGCAGCCGAAACGATAGATCAGTATGCGATGTCCCAATTGATCGCGATATGGCGTCACAGTCAATATATTCTCATCGCCCAGATGACGTAAATCCATGGGACGCACCTTCTCATAGAATCTTTTATTGTCCTCGCGAAATTTGTAGTAGTTGCAAAGCTGTATTAGGAGAACCAGATACACAGATTAATAGAAAGTATGACCAATCCTTGAATAAAAAATAAATTAATTAAATATTGAAATCTAATCCTATCACTTATGGCTTCCTTGTGAATTACCATCAGAAAAGAACTTTTGTGTTGTATGTTTTTTTTTTATAGTCATTGCCTATACTATTTACTAAATAATTACAATAAAAAATTAAACATCGTATTTCTTTGAACTTACGCTTTCCGTTTTCCAATTATCATCAATCACCGAATCGCCCTTTTAACTAGTTAATAATTATTATGAAGAAATTTCCATCAATTCTTTTTAGCACTCTCAGATCGTTATTATCCGCGTATTATAATTCACCTAAAATTCTGTGTTTACTATGTACTATATGAATATGTTACATTCCAGCTCATGTGATCTGCTTCATCCACTGACCATCAATCACTCAATCATTTTGCCATTCCCTAGGTAAACTCACCAATTTATAGCTAGCTCCTATTTTCCAATAGCGCGCACGCAGAAACTTTTCCAGATACTTATCATCGTTCCGATGGGGCAGACAGTTCTTTTGTTCTATTGAAGACCAATTTTGTGTAAGTAGTGGAGATATATTCTTAATTAGGTATATTTGTATACATGCACCATTTATATACACACCTAATATATGATTGCGAAATTGTTCGATTTGCTGCTGCTTGGTCTTCGGGCATTCTCCTTGCTTCTCAGCTATGAGACGTATGTTCTCTGGTATTTCCTCCTCCGTAATGTTCAATTTGTGCTCAATGGCAGGCATGTTACGAACACTGCTTCTCTCAGCTGCTGCCTGTGAGAAGAGAAGGCGTTCAAGAGAGAGAGATTTGTCAGAGATGAGCCACTTGATGAGATGAGATACTTTTGTATATCTTATGTAAGATATGTATATGTAATATTTGGTATGTTTAGTGATTTTTCTATTTAATTCGTTAAGTAAAAATTTGTAGACAGAAGCTGTAGTTATAACTTTGATTTTTTCAGAATTTACATAATAAATATAATTTAAACTCTTTAGATAGTTTAAAAATATTAATTAATAATCTTTATAAGCTTGCAAATTAATGCAGTCAAATATTATGAAATAGATTTAATTAAAACTAATCGTTTTGTTAAGATAAATAATACACTTTCAAGGCTTACTTAAATGTTGCTTGGCTACATATTGCTAAGGCAACATTGTGCTAAACTCTCACGCAGCCAACTCTAAATCAAATGTTGCAACATTTAAGTTTTTCATAGTTTCAATGTTGCTGAACTCTTACGTGGTTATTGCTTAATGTAGCTGAGAATGAATGTTGCTAAGCTCTCATAAAGCCATAACCATTTGACAAGCCTAGCAACACTTCCCTTAAACGTTGCTAAGCTGGAATGTTGCTGAACTATTCCGCGGTTATCTCTAAAATAATTCTTGCTGTGAAATGTTGCGAACTAAATGTTGCTATCACTAAATATTAAATGCGTTTTCGTTGAATTTTATGATCGTTCATTTTGATTAAAATCAAACTTGAATCACATATCGCGAAGTAATTTAGTTTTTTTAACAGCATTAATTAGCTACACGTTATGCCATAGAACGATATATATATATATATATATATATATATATATATATATATATATATATATGTTTTATCCTCACGTCATTCATTGTGAGCAACATTTTGCTTGTCATTGGAACTCAAGTTGCAGTGCCGCTCGCAATTAAGCATGACAGTAGCACAGGGAAGCTCGAATTAAAGTAGAGTTACGTATCCTCATTCTGTGTGATTGGTCGCACAGTATATCGATTATATTATTAAATAGTTCCGTCCTGTAGTTTCTGTACGACTTGTAGGTATTTACTCTATGGAACTTAATGCTTATGAGCGAATTCACTTCTTTAGTTTACTTAAACTATGAACAATTTAGTAAGTCCCTTACCATATTTTGATATTAATTTTCTATGCTTTTAATCGTTGAGCTACATTCGACTTCAAACTGAATCTTCAAACTGAACCCAACGTATTGGATTAAATACGTGCAATCCCATGCAATATTTATAAATACAAATAAGAGCGAAGTACGCGATAACGAAATGAGGCAGCGTCAACGACAACGACGTCGACATCGATTATCGCTTTAACCCAGTCCAACAAAATCTCTTCCTGAACCCGGGCGAACTCAATTGCTCAACAACCCTGATAAGAAGGGCCTATGATGTCTCTCCAAATTTTTAATATACATATGTATATATGTAAATATTTATGGAATATTACTCTGATCGCCTTCGAGCACGTAGTAAATATTTCGCGTTAAAGTGCCATATTTACACCAAGTTAAAAATGAACTCGAACTGTTTTACATTGCAAATTGCATTTGGCTAGTGTTTGCATTAGCTAGAGTAAATAACAACTCCGATTGGTGAAAACACAGGTAATGAGGGTCTTGCATTTTTTATTATATGTGAATACCCTGAACCCATTAAAAATCGGAATGAATACTCTGAATAGTTTGATTTTGTTAAAATTTATATAATGCATGCAAGTCAGGAGCTAGAGACTTCAAGCTTTTCTTTGTTTGTTTCAAAAAATTGATAACTATTTTCGTTTCAATGTTATCACTCAACAAATACCGCAGTTGAATTATTTAATTATATCCCGTACGTAAGCCAGAGTCTCACAAATTTCCATTAATTTTTTTATATAAACATATTTTAGAGTCTCAAAATTTTGTATTTAGTTCACTGTATATTTTATACAGCGTTGATTTCTGTTATGTATTTTGGTCCGGCAACAAATATCCTCAAATTCTTTCACCTTAACTTAAGTCGCAAATAGCCAATATGTGAAAGAGTTTGCATTTTAGAGTAAGGTGACAAGATTTCCTATAGAATATGTAGATCATATGCTGAAAATTTCGTAGACAATGAGGTTCGAACCTTTGTAATGTCGGTTTTTATTTATTTTTTTTATTACTCAATACAAACTAAAAATATTCAAAAACGCAGATAGAACAGGGTTCAGTGTATTTCATAGTCGGGTACCTCCGACTAGAGCTATCTTGTTTGTTTACGCAGAAATTGTGTTGGTTTTGAGCAATTGATACGATCTAATCGTCTATTTGATTTTTCACAGATCTCCTTAATACTTGGAAAGAAATCATCAAACTAAGCGAACACAATGGGAAAAACGACATAAAAGCTGCATAGTGTTTTTCAAAAAATAATGTTAGTTTAACAAATTTACTAATTTCGTATTGAGTTTATAGCGATCCCACATATGCATAGAGACATGCTGTGGAATTAGTTTAAAACGCAAATCAGTTGGTGTTTATGATATCTACTTATTGAACTCTCGAATATAATACCCTTACTTATCTTAAAAGAACAAAAGCTCTTGTCAGGAGTACCAGACCAAAATGAAACCATGAAACTCCATTTCTGAACATACTAAATATCTCGTGTCTATGCATACACACACAAAATGGAAAACAATGAACACGCTCACATATATTAATGTATAAATATAAATATATTTGCGACTACTTACAATGGCATTGAATAATTAATTATTTTATTAATATTTATAATTGTCTTTTTTAACCCGAAACTCAATAAATGTATCTTCTAGCCGGGTACTTCCGACCTGAGCACTAGTAACTGTTTATAATAATAAAGCTATAAGTCATAAGAAGTTCATAATTCTTAATATATCTTTGGTAGCTAATTTCCGTTTGGATAATTATGTTTTATTATTTTTAAGCTACAATTTTAAATTAAAAAATAAAATAAGTAAATAAAAACTTTCTTTCTTTTCAATAATTTTTGGGCTGATCCAATTTTAAAAGTTTTTAAAGGCTACGTTTTATTACATTCTTCAGTTAGAATTTAAAAACCTGTTTTTTTTTATTTATTTTGTTTTTTAATATCGTACTTATAGAAAGCAAAATCAACTTTTCGAAATTAGAAAACTTTCTTTTCCTCTTAATTTTTAACTCAAACAATTCTGAACACCATTGTGACAAAGCAAAGATCAAAAGCTTAAAGATCACATTCATTATTTTGTAGTACAACACGAAACAAAAAAATACAACAAATATCGAATACGTGATGATTTGCTTGTTTGTTATTTTCGTACATTATTAAGTTACAAGTCCATGTCACAGGTTCAAATCGCAAATATTGACTGGCGCGCCTAATTGTTAATGTTCTTAAGTGAACTAAAATGCATTTCGAAACAAAGTTCAAGTGCACAAAAGTCGTTACTCTGACAATGATTTGTTAATTGTGTTAAATAAAACAATACTGATTGTAAAAATTCATAATTAATTTGACAACTTCTGTTATATATTACACATGTTTTAGACCAGTTTAACTAGACAAACATAGTTTCTTTAAATAATTGTTAAAATTAAGTAGTACCAATCAAATATTTGTAGAAATTTGTATTGTTTTCAGTTATTGCCACTTATCACGCACAACAGATCATCCAATATTTATACTTTATTATAATTACTTTATACTCTAAATCGTTATTTAAGCGAAGCAACTGACAATGCGAAATTTTGCATTAACACTGACTCAAAGATCGTCTAGAACAAAACGTTTTATTCACCTAGCACTCTAAAAGAGACTCAGAAAAACCCGATTTCATGCCTGGCAACGAGTTAAATTAAAATCATCAAGTTCTATGTGTTGTAAAAAAGCACACAATGCAACGAAAATAATATACTCTATAGTAATTATAAAAAAAAAGTAAATATATAAAACTATATCAACTTCTTACGATAAATTATATTTTAAAATAATTTCATTAAAACTCGTAAAACATTAAATTTACTATATACTATAATTATAAAAACTCTGTTTTCTCAACTAATGATATAAGAACATTGTAAGCTAAACTAGAACTATGAACTAAAGTTTCGCTTAGTGACATTAGCTCGGTGTTAGGGTGACTGCATGTTAAATAAATGCCAGTGAGAGTGAAAATAATGCATATATATAAATATATACATGTATATGGATATATATATATATACTGCCATTAGCTGGCAATAAGTCGGGAGGCTAAAGATGGAGGCCAGAACCTGATGATGATGTTTCTCATGCAACTGTGTATGTCTTGTAATAAAAGATGCTGTACAAGTTCAATGAGCTTTAATGACGTCACGTAAGTAAAAAAAATACAGCTGAGTAACTGTCATAAATGGTTGCTTACAAGTTCTGCAGCTCTTATTACTTAAAAATGTTTCAAGGCCCATCGCACATCTCTGATGAATATAAACAAAAGAGAAAAACGAGTTCCAGTTGCAAGTGCAACAAACCTTTCTGTTATCGTTGGTCAAGGTTAACTGAAAAACTAGTTTTTTGTTTAGCCGGCCAAGTCTTTTATAGCCGCATGTTTCGGATAATTTGCATTAATCAAGCATTAAATTTTCCAAGCATAATTTTCCGCAATTACCGATAGCAGGCTAATTAAACCATAATTATTTTGAGTAAAATATATTTTATCGTTTAAAAATAAATAAAATTTAAATACTTAAACGTTGAAGCAGAAAAAAATAATAAGTTTAAAGTAAAACAAATCTTTGGTAAAAGTATATAATTTAAATATAACCGCCACACATTAATAGGGACTATGGCGTTTATTTTCAATATTTAAAAAATATATATCAACCAAATGGCAACATTCGTGAATTGCTTTGGCTGGTACAGTACAAATTTAGAATTATCCTAGGTCTGGCAGCATTCGCCAAAATCTTATCGATAAGTATCGAATGTAAGACCACTGTCTGTACGGTTTGCTGCTTGGCGAAGAACGACGGTTTTTGTGTGGCCAAGAAATTTTCGCAGATCTAATTTTAATAGTGAAGTATATTTTTAGTTTATTGTTACAACCAATTAATTACGTGTGCTAATAGTTAATAGTGGTTTTCTACAAAAAGTGTAGTAAAACTTATAGAGAAGCACAATCACATATAAATACAAAGTTCGGCGGCGGCGTCTACTGTGTGTGCACAAATTTTGCAGTCGCTGCCGCGCGTTGGTTTCATCAAAGCGGCCATCAACTTCTCCCGACTAACTAAAAAGGTAATCTTAATACTGTGCAACATAATTAAGGTGAACGGTAAACGTGCTGGGAATTATTGCTGTAGTGTTTTTTTTTTAATATGAAAATGTTTTGGCCCGTTGGCGTCGAGTTTGCAAATTAAAAATGGCGCTGCCGGTGTAGATATAATTTGTGAGTAAGATATGTACATATACAAAATTCCATTACACAAAGCCAAAGTTAAAGTGTTTTAAAGAGCTAATTTTAATTATTACATATTTTTATATTGATTAATATTTGTTAAGCCATATCAGCAAAGCCGGCAGGGTTGTTGCACACAGATACACACGCACACACCGAGAAAGAGAGACGCATACGTAGAAATGCGTTAAGTTTGATTTTTCTATCTTTTCTTTAAAAGCATTCTGTACTGATGTACACCATTGCATAATGCAGAAAATATATGTGTAGCTTCGGCTTCATTATTTATTTTTGCGTTAGCGGATCGTTTCAGTGTTGCTGTTTTGTTGCTGCATTAGCAGCCGGCTCAACTGTCCCGCTAAAACACAGGGCTGTTATACACACACGCGCATTGCTCGCGCCTTTTGCGCGTTTGGTTTGTACATATTAGCATATCACTAGGAAATGTAAAGTTGATAAAAACAAGAATTAAAAGATACTTTTAATTTGAATATAAATATATATATAAATAATATGCAGCAATCAAGCCTTTACATTTGTCTATTATGAACAAAATATCTTTTTTGTTAAGAGGACAGAATTGTAATTGCATTTTTTATAGTGAGGAGGCTTCGGCATTTATCGAATATATATCTGACTTTTTTAATATAACTAGATTTTAATTTTGGATTTGTTTATTTTTTCTTAATACATTTTGTATTGCTTATGTTCTGTAAGATCATTTTATGTGGGACTGTCTAGAGTTGTGCATTTCTTTATTTCCTCTTACTCTTACTTTTGATATCGCAATTCATGTTCTAGATTCGATTCATATTTTTTTTTATTGTTTCTTAACAATCTTTGTATGATATTTGATTTTCAGCACGTGCAACCTAGAAACAACAACATGGAGAACGGTAAAGGCGGCTTGTCCATCGAACAGATGTACCAGAAGAAATCGCAGTTGGAGCATATCTTGTTGCGTCCAGATTCGTACATTGGTTCGGTGGAATTTACAAAGGAGTTAATGTGGGTACACGATCCAGAAAAAAATCGTATGGTGCAGCGTGAGATATCATTTGTGCCAGGTCTCTATAAAATCTTCGATGAGATACTCGTTAATGCGGCTGATAATAAGCAACGTGACAAGTCTATGAATACGATTAAAGTCGATATCGATCCTGAGCGGAATATAGTATCCATTTGGAATAATGGACAGGGTATACCTGTAACTATGCATAAGGAAGAGAATATGTTTGTGCCCACAATGATATTTGGTCATCTGCTTACTTCATCCAATTACAATGATGATGAGAAAAAAGTTACAGGTGGTAGAAATGGCTACGGTGCCAAATTGTGCAACATTTTCTCGAATAGTTTCACTGTAGAAACAGCCACAAAGCAGTATAAAAAGAGCTTCAAGCAAACTTGGGGTAATAATATGGGCAAAGCTGGAGACCCAATTGTAAGTATACTTACTGATTACCCAAATTGAATATTAAGCTAATGTCAAATATCTTTTTAGATTAAAGACTTCAATGGCACCGACTATACACGTATCACCTTCAGTCCAGATCTAGCCAAATTTAAAATGGAATCTTTGGATAATGATATTGTAGCTCTAATGTCTCGTCGTGCCTACGATATAGCCGCTTCCACAAAGGGTGTATCTGTGTTTTTGAATGGCACTAAAGTTCCCGTACGTGGATTTAAAGAGTACATTGATTTGTTTGTCAAGAATACCGATGACGATGCTGGACAGCCCATTAAAGTGGTCTATGAGGCCTGTGGTGAACGATGGGAAGTCGCTTGCTGTCCGTCGGATCGCGGATTTCAACAGGTGTCGTTTGTTAATTCGATAGCAACTACTAAGGGTGGTCGTCACGTCGATCATGTGGTTGATAATGTCATCAAACAGCTAATTGAAGTGCTAAAGAAGAAAAATAAGAATGGTATCAGTATAAAACCGTTTCAAGTGCGCAATCATTTATGGATATTTGTAAACTGCTTAATCGAGAATCCCACATTCGACTCGCAGACCAAAGAGAATATGACGCTGCAAGCCAAAAGCTTTGGCTCGAAGTGCACATTCTCTGAAAAGTTCATTGCCAATGTCTCAAAGGCGGGCATTGTGGAATCGGTGTTGGCATGGGCCAAGTTTAAGGCACAGAATGATATTGCTAAAACGGGCGGCAAGAAATCTCATAAAATTAAAGGCATACCCAAACTAGAAGATGCCAACGAAGCGGGCACCAAAAACTCTATCAATTGTACGCTCATTCTCACCGAGGGTGACTCAGCCAAATCTTTGGCTGTCTCCGGCTTAGGTGTTATTGGACGTAATTACTACGGCGTCTTTCCACTACGTGGTAAGCTGCTCAATGTGCGAGAGGCTACATTCAAGCAGCTGACAGAAAACGCTGAGATCAATAATTTATGCAAGATTATTGGCTTGCAGTATAAAAAGAAATATTTGACCATTGATGATCTGAAGACATTGCGCTATGGCAAAGTTATGATCATGACGGATCAAGATCAGGACGGCTCTCATATAAAAGGCTTACTGATCAATTTTATTCACACCAATTGGCCGGAATTGTTGCGCTTGCCCTTCCTCGAAGAGTTTATAACCCCAATTGTAAAGGCAACGAAAAAGAACGAAGAGATTTCATTTTATTCACTGCCTGAATTCGAGGAATGGAAAATGGATACGCCCAATCACCATACGTACAATATAAAGTACTATAAGGGTCTCGGTACTTCAACCTCTAAAGAGGCTAAGGAATATTTCCAGGTGGGTTTTGTATTGTTTTACCTTATATATTAATTATATTTAAATAGGTCCCTATTACTATGTGTCTATTACTTGATAACGCAATTCTTTGAAAACAATAACGAATGAAACTTTAATCATTCCCAGGACATGGAACGCCACAGGATTCTGTTTAAATATGATGGTCAAGTGGATGATGATAACATTGTAATGGCTTTTGCTAAGAAGCATGTGGAATCGCGTAAAACCTGGCTCACCAATCACATGGACGAGGTGAAGCGTCGCAAGCAATTGGGTCTACCAGAGCGTTATCTCTACACCAAGGGCACCAAACATGTCAGCTACTCAGATTTTATCAATCTTGAGCTGGTGCTTTTCTCCAATGCGGATAACGAACGGTCCATTCCTAGTTTAGTAGATGGCCTGAAACCTGGCCAGCGTAAGGTTATGTTTACATGCTTCAAGCGTAACGATAAGAGGGAGGTAAAAGTGGCTCAGCTATCCGGTTCAGTAGCCGAAATGTCGGCCTACCATCACGGCGAAATGTCCTTGCAAATGACCATTGTGAATTTGGCACAGAATTATGTCGGATCGAACAATATCAATTTACTGGAACCTCGCGGTCAGTTCGGTACACGTTTAACCGGTGGTAAGGATTGCGCAAGCGCTCGTTATATATTCACATTGATGTCGCCCCTTACACGGCTCATCTATCATCCACTGGATGATCCTTTGCTGCAGTATCAGGTGGATGACGGTCAGCGAATCGAACCCTTGTGGTATATACCGATTATTCCCATGGTATTGGTGAATGGTGCCGAGGGCATTGGCACTGGTTGGTCTACGAAAATTGCAAACTACAATCCACGCGATTTAATAACTAATTTGCGTCGTATGATCAATAATGAAGAACCATTGCCATTGCACCCGTGGTATAAGAATTTTACGGGTAGCATGGAATATGTGTCCGATGGGCGTTACGTGCACTCGGGTAACATACAAATCCTTCCTGATAGTCGCATTGAGATCACGGAATTGCCAATTGGTGTGTGGACACAAAACTACAAGGAGAACGTACTGGAGGCACTATCTAACGGCACCGAAAAGGTTAAAGCGATAATATCTGATTATCGTGAATTCCATACAGATACAACAGTCCGCTTTGTAATTAGTTTTGCGCCAGGTGAATTTGAGCGATTGCGCCGCGAAGAAGGTGGATTTCATCGTGTCTTAAAGTTGAGCTCGTCTATATCCACAAATCAGATGCACGCGTTTGATGAAAATAATTGTTTGCGTCGCTTTCCATCGCCCAAAGACATATTATTAGAGTTTTATAAGCTCCGCTTGGAATACTATAATAGGCGTAAGGATTATCTGGTAGGTCAGCTGACAGCCCAATCAGATCGGTTAAGCGATCAGGCACGCTTCATTTTGGAGAAGTGTGAGAAGAAGCTAGTGATTGAGAATAAGCAGCGCAAAATGATGATCGACGAGCTGATTAAGCGAGGCTATCGTCCAGATCCCGTTAAGGAATGGCAACGACGCATCAAAATGGAGGACGTCGAAGCAGCTGACGATAATGATGAAGAGGAGGAAGATAGTGGAGTTGGCACCAGCAGCAAAAAGATTAAGAAAGAAGTAGATCCCGAGAAGGCATTCCAGAAGTTAACAGAAGTCAAGAAATTCGATTATCTGCTGGGCATGTCCATGTGGATGCTGACCGAGGAGCGAAAGAATGAGCTGCTCAAACAACGAGATCTCAAGATGGCGGAGTTAGATAATCTAATGAAGAAATCGCCAAGCCATCTGTGGATGGATGATCTCGACAATCTCGAACAAAAGCTTACCGAAGTCGAAGAAAAGGAAAGATTGGAGGAGCAAGGCATTAATCTCAAACAAGCGAAGGCCATGAAGGGTCAAAAGGCGATAACTGGTCGTGCCAAAAAGGGTGGCAAATCATCGGCGGGCAATGCGGACATCTTTCCTGATCCAATTGGCGAACGCGTCGCATTTAAAGTTACCGATGAAATTATTAAGAAATTCCAAGCGGCCACAAATACTGCCGTCAAGACAAAGGAGCGGATGACCAAAGTTAAGGCTATAAAGAAGGAGGAAACAACGGCTGGCAAAGAGGTGGACGATTTCGATTTGCTCGTTGAAGGCGGCGCCCCAAAAACGTCGCCCAAGGCCAAAAAAGGACCTGCACCTAAAAAGGAACCTGCCGAGAAGAAATCGAAAAAGCAGAACGGAGATGGCCTTAAGCAGAGTAAACTGGACTTTAGCAAGGTAAGACAAAAAAGGTAATTGTATCTGTTCGTCTATTAATATGTATATCAATTCAGGCTCAGGCCAAGAACCTTGATAGCTCTGGGGAACTGGTTGAAGAGGTTCAACGTGTTGAACGTCCGGGTCGCCGTGCAGCTAGCAAAAAGGTCAATTATTCGTTCCTCATTTCGGATGAGGAGGGAGAGGAGCACGAAGACACCAACAACGATGATGATGATGATCTGGATGATTCACCTATCAAACGTCCAACAGGCGCTAAACGTCAACGAGAAGATGACAGCAGTGGAGGCGCAGCCAAGAAGAAGGCTGCAGCCAAAAAGGCACGCGCTCTCGATAGCGACAGCAGCGACGATGATGTTATTGGTGTGGACGATGACGATGATTCCGATTTCGAAGCATAATTAAATATATAGATATATATACGTTAATCCTCTTAAGCAGCAGTTCGCACATCTACTCGTGGTATATTATTACAAATATCTTACCAAAAAGTAAAACAGAGGGACAGATGGAAATCGTATGCATACAAATTGTATTAGGGCAACTATTTGAATAAGTAAAGTAAACAAGTATTTCTGATATACCACTGCGAAAAGTTTGAAAGTTTAACAAAAAACAGAAAGCAAACAAATTAAGGCAGTTTTTAAATTACATTGTAATTGATGTTCCATAAGTGTTTACCATACTTGAAATATTTTTATTTACATTGATTAACTTCGCAACATTCTTTCAATTTGCAATTTTTAACAAAGCAAAATCAAGCGATAATCCACCAATACATTACAGAACACTCTTTAATCTACTATAAATACATAATATATATATATATAGATATATATATATAATCAATATCTTGTTTTGTAAACATAGTTTGTAGTCACATACAATACCATTTTTCCATGTAAATAAAATGTATTTTACGCAGGCATCTTTTAATATACTTCAAAATGTGTATTACGGATCAGGGACAACTATCTACATGCGTCAAAAGTTAAAAAAAACACAAATTTTACTTTGTTTTTTATTGAATATAGGATTTGTCATTTGTTTCCATAATTTTAGAATTGTACTTACACATTTTATTTATAAATCTATTTGAACTATATTTTGCAAAACATTTTAATTCAAATAAATTTTGTACCGTCTTTAAATTATACGTTTTCGTATGAGTTGATAGATAATATTTATTGCCCTGACTTATTTAATAAAGTATTTCTTCGATTGGATATACAACAAATCTCATATCCTGATGAATAATCTCGACAGTGTCACATATTTAGGTAGCCATATGGGTTGCGAAGATATAAGCAGTATTCTTTCTAATCAACTGGTGAATATTTTTATTTTAATAGATCGTTATGATGTGGGGTATACAAAATTGATGTAATAAAATATAAAAAACAACTTCATTTTCCTTTAGTCCATTCGCGTGAAATTTAATTTATAGTAGTTATAAATAATCATTAATTAAACACCGCTAACAACATAAACAAAATAATTTTTAGAATTTGTAATATAAACTTATTTATTAGAATGGTTACAGTTTTTGCTTGCTAGGAAAGAAATTTTGTTAAAACTTATTCTAGTGGTACTCGCTAATCATCGAGTTGATCGAGAAATGTGTTAAATGTATTCTTTATATTGTCGTTGGCAAAGTTTTTCTTCTTGATTGCCTCGCGTAGAGCATAACGACAGCCCTTCATATTGTATTCGCTCTTGAAGCGTTCTTCGCTGCGCAATAGACCCAACTGTATCAAATAATACTCCAGGACTCGCGTTTCCTGCTCTGTTCTGATGGCATAGTCAAAGGTAGCCTGATATAGTGATATAGCCAGCTCCAAAGCAGCCGGCGATGTTTGAGCAAGATGTCCGCACTTTAGCGACGTAAAGATTAGCAGCAGCAAGTGATTATCCTCATCGAATAACTGTAGAGTGAATATAATTTGTTAACATCATTTAGTAAATCGAAATTGTTTATAAGTGATTGGTGTTGTCTTCAACAATGGCTTATACAAACTGTTATACGTTACTTTGGTCAAATGAAATTTTAAAAATCTACCTATTACTAAGGGTAACTATTTTATAAAAAGTGTCTTCGACCCCCAATGTTTAATACAAATGATTGGTCAGAATGTAAAATATCAGAAATATCAGAAACTAAAAATTAAAATAATTTAAATGAACGGGTAATCAATCCCTTTTCTATGCATAATACAATCTATTTTCGGATCTACCTCTCGGGTTTCTAAAGACTCGGTATCAATTGCTTAGTCTTACATTGATTATGTTATGGAAGGCATCAAGCTTATTATTCGCCTCCAGCGAGTCAAATTGTTGCAGCGTACAAGGCGTTTGACTAAGGCAAAATATCTCCGGAGTGCAGGCGATGGTGCTGAGCGTTTTGTTGCCATTCTTTATTGTCATATCAAAATTGTTGCTGGTTTTGTTAGAGGTCATGCTGTCGTTGAAAAGCTGCAAAGAGTAAATTCATTAATTTAGTAAAGTAATGAATAAAAAAAAATATTTAAAATTAATAATTATTGCAAATTAACCCTATCAGGTGGTTAATCTGTTTTACCTTAGTGGTGTAAGCATTGCTGGTTACGTAGGCTTCGTCGTCATCTTCGTCTACCTCTTCTGTGGTGTCATTTGGATCATAATCACCATCATCGTCTTGTTCATCATCATCATCTGCGTGTTCATCAGATTCTTCATCATCGTCGCTGTTATCGGGTGTCGCATTGTCATCATTATCACCGTTATTCTCCTCGCCCTCCTCTTCGGAGAGCACTTCATCCAAAGACTGCAGAGCTGCAGGATTTTTGCATTTTGCCATTTCTGCAACGATTTGTGAACTCCCACTTTGACCAAAGCAATTGCCATCCAGATTAAATATACGCAGCTTGGGCTTATGCTGCACGGCCGTCACCAGCACCAGGCCTCCATCAAAGTTGATATCATTGTTGCTAAGATCCAGCAGCTCCAATTGTTCGTGATTCTGTTCCAGAGCCTCGGCGAAATGATAAGCGCCATCGGTCTTTAGCAAACAGTCGCCAAAGTCAATTTCACGCAATCTTCAAGAGAAATTTAGAAATTTGATGACGAAACATTTGGGAATAGTTATCATAGTTTTTACACTTACAATGGGGTGTGCTCAAAGACTTCCGCTATCTTAGCAGCTCCACGGACGCCCAACGTATTGTCATTCATATTTATCACACGCAAGTGCGGATTCTGTTTAAAACTATTCGCAAGTGCCGCGACGCCCACATGATAAATGGAATTCTGCGGTATGGTAATCTCTTCCAGCGTTTGCAGTACTTTGAATGTTTTTGACAAAGCCTTGGCTCCGGCATTCTCCAAGCGATTGCGTCCAGCCACAAAGGTCCGTAATTGCAGCGGCGTACCTGCTTCCTTGGCGTTTTTATGGAGATCGATGAGGGCAACAGACAACATGCGTCCGCCCTCAGGACCAAGGCCACAGTTATTGAGGTACAACTCCTGCAGCGAGTAGCAGACGGGCGATCGTAGGAACTCCTCCAATCCGGTCATTCCATTTGGACCGAGTGCATTATCGCTGAGATCGAGCACTGTGAGCTTGGCACCAGCTGCAATTAAACCAGCGCCCAAATGTTCCAAAGCCAACGGGATCTCCGAGACGAGACGTCGCGTAAAAAGATTTTTCCATAGGGCTTTGCGAAATTCCGGATGCTTACGGAGCGCTTCGCTAATAGCTTGAGCGGCCTCCACGCCTAGTGTATTGCCATCGAGATTAAGATAATGCACTATGGATTGGCTGTTGAGTGCTTCAACAACGGCTTTGACTGTAAGTGTGTAACAACATTGATGAAGTTGCATTTAATAAAAGAGATTCCGCTTACCATCTTCAGCATTATTCCAGGTTTCTGCTTTGTTTTCGAAGGAAATACCCTGCTCCTCGTTGAGCTGTGCTGCCATATTGGCGAAATTGAAGTTCGATATGGTTGGGACTGACATATTTGCTTATTATTATTTTAATAATTCAATTTTTAGTTAAAACTGTACTTTTTCTTATTTTAATATTCTCTTTTTTTGTAAGCTCGAAAAATTCGCGTTAACCTTGCAAAAGAGCGCTCGAAGTGACAGAAATTGCGGCGTTTGTTTGCAGGCAGCTGCATCTATTTTGACAGCTGCTGGCTACGAGTATAGCTTCGTCTCACTCTATCAGAGCCGGCGAATGTATTTTGCAACACTACATTGAATTTTGCCAGTTATTAAGTTATTGTGAGACTTGAATCGACTTAGTTGCTACATTGTTTCACATGCTATTCTTTTTGCTAAGTTTATTTTTTTAGAGTAAAGTGTTATTATTAATCATTATTAATTTTAAAAAAAGAAACATCAAATCGCGTGCAGCAGTTCATTTATAAGAGCGTACCAATTGATCTGGTTCCGAACGGAATGATACAGCTCTAATAAAAACAGCTGTTTAATGTGACGATGCTAAACAATTGTGTAGTGAATAACATGAAAATTAAATAAACAATATTGACATCTATAAATTCTCAAAATGTTTGCAACATATGCAGGTGGCTCCTGGATAGATGCTGTTTTTGATGAAATCGCGCTGGAAGGCTTGGAAGGCACCACATTACCATGTGAGTAAAAATTTTACGTGCTGCTGCATGTTCAGTACGTGCAAGCAGTAAATGTGCTGTTGAAATTTATAAATATCAAAATAAAAAATTTGTTAATAGATCTGTGGTCGCTGCTGTCTATAAGACTGTATGCTGGCAATCCCTTGCCAGATAAGTTGCATCAACAGATATGGCAGTTATTATTACGGTCGACTGAGGAAGTTAACTTCTTCATATTACCCGAAGCAAGGCCTTTGATGCCGGTATATAAGCGCTTTAATGATCAGGATGTGGAATGCGAAATGCCTGTAGTACCAGAAAGCAGTCCCTTTTTGCGTTTGCCCTTTGCGCCCGTACAGGATGGCCCTATACGCGGCAACTGCATGGATTACAAGACGCGCCACCGCATAAATGTGGATGAATTGGAAGCACTGTCCGCTGCAGAAGCCACACAACAGTATCAGCAAAAGCTGGTCATAGTGGCTAGCCAGGAGCTGCGCACAAAGGCGTTGAAGCCAGCAAACATGTTACTGCCCCGTGAGTTAACCGTGCAGCATTATGTATTCCTCGAGAGTGTGGGACGTTCTCGACATAATGGAGAAACCACACGTGGTCCTTGGTCCTTGACAAATTACTTCACTGACCCCAGTTTGATATTCTATTTGAGGTAAGTTTGCTAGACAATGCAGCTTAAATGCATTTTAATCTACAAAAATTTCGCTTATGCAGAAACTGGTTGTTGAAGCAGCAGTTTGTTGTCGGTCAGATCTATGCGGAGCGTCATAATGGACGTAGCTTGACTTCCACTTTGGTCATGTTGCCTCGTTTCTTTCGGATTTACAAGAATCACACTCAACGCATCATGGAAAAGTTCTATGCAGAGATCAAAGCGAGCCCATTTCAGTATATACCTAGTTGCGAAATATTGGAACGTATGCCAGACTTATCCAGTTCGAGGCTTAAAAAGCTGCTCATCTCGCACAACTTTCGTAAGATCTTTGAGACGGCGCTCGTTCAACCGCCATGTCCAGCGAGCAGCAGCAGTAGCTCCAAGCCGCACCCAAAAGGTCGAAAAATGTCGGTTGTGCGTCTTCGTAATCCCAATATGGAGTTCGATGATCTCAATCAGCAAGATCTCACTGAAGAGCGTGAGGATAAGGCGCCCGATGAGTTGCTAAGTCAGCGACATGCCTATGTAAATATGCCCATTGAGTTGGAAAGTTTGCGCGCCATCAAGCACTTCGGTACGAGGGGCATGAGTACCTTAGAGCTGTGTCACTACGTGGCTGTCAATTTTCAAATTGCACGAAGTATTATCAAATTTTTGATGCGCAAGAAAAGAATCAAGAGCTATACAGAAACTGTGGGCAAATCTCGCATTGCTCGCTTTGTGGCAGTCGGGACTGAAGCGGAGGCTATTTTCAGGGAAAAGGAAGAGCAGCTGGAGAAGTCAGTGCTGCAGCTACAATGCCAGGATGAGCTGGTAATGATAAGCTATAAATGCAGTAGCACTTGTAGGACTCTGTGACTGTGCGGGCACTATCCACTTTGCTAATTATAAATTATTTGTAATCTTCTTTCAGAATGTACCTCTGAACGTGGACATTGTGATCAATGATCTGCCCAATATCAAAACCAATGTACGTGCTATGGACTTCTCGAGGAAAGCGTTTAAAGGCACCGATAAGGAGACACCACAGCATGTGGCACGCAAAATGTTAATCGTGCGACAAATTGATAAGACCTGTATTATACACTCCATTGACTTAGCTCGATCCATCATGGAGGCGGAGAAGAATGTAGGCGCACGTGAAAAAATATGTCGAAAATCGATGTTTAGACTGCTCGAGCGAATGCAACATGCACGCATTTTGAATGTCTACGAAGTGACGCTGAAGTACGAGGAACGTATGCGTCTTTATCGCTTGGTCACACATCCCAAGATCGATCTGCAGCACGAACAACTTGAGCGCGAGGTTTTGCGTTTGAAGAACAATTTCCATTTGATAACCGAGGAGCGACAATCACGTCCAGCTCAATTGATGTTGGGCAAAGGGCGACGCGAGCAGATGGAACGAAAAAAACTTCGAATTGACTCTCAGCGCAAAGATAAATCAAAACCATCAGCGCCTAAACTCTTGGTGGCCAGCACCTTACACGAATTCCTCTACTATTTGGCTTGCGAACAGCAGCGCGATCAACAGCCGCTGCAAATGAATGAGGAGTTGTTGCGGCAGTGGCAGCACACCGAACCGTCGTTGATGGCACGTGAATATCTGGAGGAGTGGCAGGCCACGGAGTCGGAAGTGTTGCCCTACACGCAGGAGATTAGCTGGCGCACGTTTATACCACCTTTACCCAGCTACGATAAGCCAACTGGTTGGCTCTACTTTATGGATGCTCTAGAGCGCATGCCACTTTCGTTAATGCTTCGCATCTTTCGCATCGAGCGAGAAGTAGCAGACAAGCTGCGCCCACAGCTCCAGCATCCAGTGCGACAGCATTATCTCCTGGCGCAGCTGCAACTGCAGAATTTGATACCGCGAATAAGTCTGCAGCAACGATACCTGGGCATGCTTCGTCTGCTAAATAATATGGGCCTATTACAGGTCAGTGAACGGCAGCTGGGACGCGATGCGTTGCAACGTTGGGTGTATTTCAATAGGCATACCTGCCTGCTGGACACCACCACGAGCAGTGGTCACAACTACAGACGGATTAATCCGGAACTCAATTACGAACGACTCACATATGAGTTCACCAGTCGCGAACAGATTGCCGACTATTGGGCCAAGCTTCAGCATGTGTGTATCTACACAAAGCTGGGGTTCCTGAAGCACAAGGAGCGCAAAGTGGTTAGCAGAAAGGAGAAACGTCCGCAACCTCTCAGTTTTGTGCGCTTGGCTGCTTTTGACGAGGCTGCGCAGCTAGATGACGGCAGCGTACCAGGTGATCAACAGGGTGCAGCGGGTCTTTGCTCTTCGCTCTTTGCGCATCAGTTTCGTCATTGGTCGTGGGTGAAGCGTAACTCGGTGCCAGCCCCGCGATCAACTGCGACGAACGCCCGGAAAGCTGCATCAATTCCCCTGCGCAAGCGCCTTAGCTTGATTCGATTGAAGCCAGTACCACGACTTAGTAAAACACGCGGTGCGAACTCCACGGATACGCGCAAGCGCAAGAACGGACCACGCGACGACATCGATCGTGATGCATTGCGTAATATGCGTACCTTGCGTGTCACATGGAGCGCTGCCGAGGATCGAATATTAAAAATGGGACGAGCTATCTATTTGTTTATTGATGCGCCGTTGCCTGCACTGGCGCTCTACAATGTGGGCATTATTTGCCGGGATGTGATACGTAGATATCTAAATATAAATAATAAGACAACACAGGCCTGTGTGCGACGACTGCAGTTCCTCATTCGAATGAAACGCGACCAGCCAGACGTTCGCAATTGGATCTATATGATGCAAACCCAGCCAGAATTTAATGTCATCTACAATGAACGCTTTTTATCGCAGCTCAAGCTCGAGTACCCTGTGCGCAGTGATCAAGTCGAAGCGCTGCTTATTCATTTTGTGATCATACTCGAGCGGCTGCATCGCATGATTATTAATGAGGTAGGTATTGCGTGCATCCCATTGCGTTGTCTACTATCTAATGCTCTCGTATTATTTGAAGGACTTCGTCTATCGTCAGTTTCTGCTGCCCGATAATCTTGAGGATTACCGCAGTCGCTTTAGGGAGTGTGTAGCGCCAAATGGTGAACAGGACTCGCTACTCTATGCGAATCCTACTACAGAGACTGAACTTCAAATAACTGTTGTCTCCGGTGTACAGCATAGTATCTTGTGCAGTGCAAAGGATAAGACACTGTTCAATCTGCAAGCCTTTGAAATTTACAAACACTTCTCTGAGGATGTGTTGAATGCGGCATTCAATAAAGCGCGCGCAGATTCACTTTTGGTGGCTCTCAAGCGTCGCAATATCCAACATGTGAATCGTCAAATCTCTGGCCCTGGACATCTGCTTAGCTCCAAGTACAAGTATAAATTAGTGTGCCAGAAGTATGGGTACTTGCTGTACGATGCCTACTACGCATTCGAACGACGTTTTCATGAATCTCTCGGCTTGACCAGCTTGGATTTACCATCCCCGAATTTCGCGCAGCTGCTGCTTCTTGGCGAATGGGTGGCAAATAATTGGTTGAGCTTAAATCTGCAGCTGCCCGTGAATATACTCAATGTAGATACAACTAGTATGCCGACTAAGACGGCAGAGTCGTCTTCGGATCGCATTCTGGATCATTATAGCAGCATATTTGACAATGCACCGCAGACGGAGTACTCTAAGCGGCTGGAGAGTGTTTGCAGTGGTCGTCCGGCTTCTCGCGTTCGCTTCCATCCGGCAAATCTTACGTATCGTCTTAAAAATAGCATCTACAATCAGCTTAACAAGTTGCCCATGCGTTCCATGCATTTCTTTTGCGCTCTGGACGCACTGGGGCAGTCCGTGAACATTAGTTGTGCGCGACTGGAACACGGGGAATGCCCCTTTAGCTGCATAATGCATAGTGGAAATTATCTCAATGCAGTAGAGCGCATCATCCACGAGCATCGTGCCATATTGCGTCAACTGGTGGCCGATGCACTGCCCCAAGTGGCGCTGCAGTTGCAGCTAGATAGCTCCATATCTAGTAGCACCACTTTAACCGTTTCCACGGGAAATCTCTTAATACTCGTGGAACAATTGGAGTCGTATTGGCGTCAGCAGCAGCAGCCGCAGGAACTCAAGGATCTGGGCAAACGTTTGGCTGATTCCACGCTAAACAAAAAAACGGATTGGCATTCGCTTTGCAGTGCACTGCTCAGCTATGAGGCTGGCAAGGAGGAGACAGGAGATCGTCCGCAAGATTATGAACCATCTCTAAACAAGGAGGAGCGTGCGCGTGCACAAGATGTCTTTGTAGTACATTTACCCACAATCCACATACAGCAACTTGAGCATCCGCAGCTGCAAGCTAGAGAAGATGAACTGCGCAAAGCGGTGCTCGACAAAGTGGCAAAGTAAGTGATTCTCTCTCTGATCTTTGTCCCAGACTCAAACGATTTTCTGTTGTGCCCCTTATATCGCAGTACTTAACTTTGTTATATATCCAATGGCGCTATGATACGTTCCGTTCTCTGCTTTTCATCCCAAAAGTCTCAATATTTTTTTTGCTTACAGAGCCTCCTTTTGGCGTTATACGGACAACAGCTTTGCAACGCTGCTACCGACGCTTCAAGATCTCAACTATGATTCGAAAGCCATTCAACATGTGAAGGACATACTCGAGCACATACAGCAACATCCACTAGGCGTTGAGGGTGTATCACTACGTCGCAGTTTCCCCTTAGGTAAATTTCTGCTTGAAGCGCTTCAACAGCTGGAGGCTCATGATCTAATAAAGCGCGTGGGTGTTGCCAGCTATATGTACGTGCATAGGGTGCACATGCGAAATTGGGTGGTGCACACGTTCCACATCAAGCGGCTGGAACGGGAGCGTGTCCAGAATGTTGTGTCTGCCTCGCCAGCAACGTTGCCTGAGGTGGTCGGACAGAAGAGGCAGCTAGCGGATCAGAGATCTGATTTGCAACCAAGTAGCAACAAAAAGCTCAAACTGGATCCGGAGCAGCAGCAAAGCAGCGGCGAGGACACGGACAGTGACGAAGCACTACTGCAATGCGCACGTCGCTCGAAACGTGTGAAAAAAGCTGAGACGAAGGTAAAGACCGAAATTAAGGCGGATCTTGAAGCTACAAGGGATGTCATTGCCATGCGGCCTCAACCCTGGATACGAGTGAATGCTTCGTTAAACCGACGTGTCCTTGATCGTTGGCTGGGCGCTCTATTGAGCGAATGTATCACACGGAACGGCTGCATTGTGCACAACTTGTTCCTTCGGTTTCCCCACCTCTTGCCCGTGGACATAATGTTGCTGCTGGAGCTACTCTTCGATTTGGGTTGCGTTCAGCTCGTTGAGCTAGAGTTGCCGACGGTACATTTGGAGAGCTCCTACGATGATGACTTCCAGGAGAAGCCTGTTACAATCCTTTACGATCCCAACTACACATATGTAAAGGTTCAGACGGATGCCATTAGACGACTTACCAATTTTATAGGGCTCAAGAAGTACACCTCGGAGTTTATTTAAATGAACATTAACATAAGTGAAGACGTCAGCAAATGGCAGTTAAGATGAAAGAATGGACAATTAGAAGAGCAGTGGGCTGCACATTGAGGCTCTACATATATGTGTAAATGTCAACTTATGTGGAGTAAAATGATATCTCTAGGCCTGCACCTCTTTCAAAACATAACATGTATGGAAGATATAATGGCCGTTTTAATAAAAATGTTTTAAACAAAATAAATATTAATATTTTTGCCTACTTTTTTATACTTGGGTTGAAGTCAGAATAAAAGACCGAATTTTTATACCGACACTTTCTATGCAAATTGTGTTGCGGATCTATCCGACTGATTTCGAAATAGGTAAAAAGGCTTTCTCAAATTGTTTTAATGACATTCGTCTAAAGTACGTGGGGAAGCGACTATCGAATAGGTGCCTGAGTTGAAAGTTGAATATGCCTTTTCATACATTTGTAAGAGCATAAGAGTGGGTAAATGTTTCCTACAAAAAAATGCAGTTTGCCACTTCAACGACGTTGTCGTTTACAAAAACCTTACATCCAATTGGTTAATGTTTCCTTTGTTTTTTTTTGTAGTTTTGTTTGACTCTTAATTCGACGGTAATATCAAAGAATACGCGTTGCCGGTTTTTTTTTTGCCGCTACAAATGTGTATTTGTAGCTTTTGTTTTTTAATTAGCGTTTCACTAAGTTTTTTTTCTTAAATCATTTTTGATGTAAAACCCGCGTTGACTTCCAACAATTATTACTTTTGTAGTTGTTTACCGCTTGCCACCGACGCGAGGTGCCGACTTTTGTGTCACCTTGGTGGCCTTTTGCTTGGGCGCCGACTTCTTTGCGGGTGCTGGTGCAGCGGCCTTCTTGGCTGCCTTAGCGGCACGCTTTTGCTCCTTGGCTACCTTGATAGCCTGATCCCGTTGAGCCTTGCGCACCTCGGGCTTCATGTTACGTTTAGCCATAATCTCAGCAAGCGAGGCGCCAACGATGGCGCGCTGGAATTTTTGTGTGCGGCGAGTACGCTTCTTAGAGGCCTCTTCCTCAATACCCTTACGGTGCTTGCGACGGTACAGCACAGTCCAAGTGACTTTACGGGGATTACGCTTCATCAGGTAAGAGCGCTCACACTTCTTATCCAGAAAGGTGAAGGTCTAAAAAAGTAGGGTTTAATTAATTTAATTTACAATTAACTGTATTGATTGTTTACACTACCTTGCCATCGATTTTGACCATGGTCTTGCCATGGCCGGGGTAAATTTTATACCCACTGAATGCACACAAACCGATTCTGCAATTAAAACGTTTTGTTTGAACATAGTCTGAGTAAATATTATAGAATAACACCAATGCACACATTCAATTGTCACATCAAACACGAAACAATTGTGGTTGCACAGTGATGTACGTATATTTTCAAAATTAATATAATTTTTACGTACTTCATCTTGCTGGTCAAAAGTGAAAAGAAACGGAAGTGGACGCGTTTTTTGACAGGCGCTGTCACAGCCGCACAGCTGACGCCTAGTGTTGTTCAGCTGTCAGATTGCAGGGCTGCATTAGCAATGTTGAGCAACGCAGGGCGCCAATTTAAGCACTTCTGTGATTGAATTAAATTTTTTGTATTTTATCGAGGCTAGTAACAACAAATTTTCGTAGTATCAGTTACATTTTATATTGTGCCTAACCGTTTTTCAATTTCTTCCTTGTCGCCCTCATCATTTTCAACAACTACGGTATGTTCTTCATTTTCGTCTTCATCATCAGACACCAAATGGCCAACAAGCGGATACTTTTCACTATACTGTTGATCCCACTCCATTAAATTACTCCTTTGCTTTGCAGTTAGGTCGCTCATATAATCAAATTCCTGATTCTCATTTCGTTCCGCTGTAAAGTTGATCAAATTACGTGATATATCAGATCCTGCCCATTGTGGATATGCTCCAGTTTGCCCATAAACTTGCTTAGCACACGATACATCGTATATATTATAATTGACTGCCACTAGTATACGTCCATCTTCACGAGTGCCATTATATTCGAGTAGCTCTTTTACGGTAAAGTCACGTTGTAGCGGCGGTAACTGTGATTTCTCGTTGTCTTTCCCGTAGCCAAAGAAATTGCGAACACGATTCAAATTGCGACGTTGACGCGATATATTTACAACTTTATAGAAAACGAAGGCCGAGACGAGTAAAAGCGTCAAATTGATGGGCGTATCCTTGATGGTGTTGTATACATTATAGTACCAGGGTAATTTAGCTTCGAGCGATTTTGTCTGTCCATTCTTTTCAGACATATCTGACCAGCTGTTCAATATAGATAGAAAGTTTTTTTTTTTTAATTTTTGTTACACTTACCTAAAAATCTGTGAGACTGGTATCTACATGTAAAGACATGTAAAGTAAATGCTTACACTATAAAAAGATAATAAACCAAACTAATTGACATGTAACCAGTAGCCTGCTTTAATTTAAGTTTTTAAGTTCGAATATCGAAAACAGTAAGCCAACACAGTTGTAACACAAATTTGCTATATTGCCGCTTTTCAACACTATGTCCGACAGCAACGTTCAGTCTCCAGCCCTGTCTGTAAATTGTCATTAGAGTCAGGCGCGCAGTATATTCAACAATTTCGAAATTAAGATATAAGAGTGTGAATTTGCAAATTAATCGAGTCTAAAATGTGCTCTATGTATTGTTTATTTCGTGCACCTCCTTAAATTGATGACAAAATTGTAAATTTATGTGTGCAAACTATGCTAATCAGTATACAGTTTTTGTGCTGCATTCAGAGTTGTTTAGTGTGGCTTGTTAAGTGGCTGGAAAATACTTACAAATATTATACAGAAATTAAAATTGAATAAAGTAAATATATAACTAGTCATCATGACATATAAAACATCACAACAGGCAACTGTTGAATAATGACATTAAACATAAAAAAAAAAAAAAACAAATAAAAACTAAAGCCTTGCTTATAAAATGTTTAATTTAGCTACATATATATATGTATGACAATATGGATCTACAGGAATTTCTAGCGCTAGAGCGCAAGCAGTTAGAATTCGATCGAAAACGTCTTGCTGCAGCTAGCAGCACTTTTGAGAATAGTACACAAAATTCTCAAGCCGTTTGTCCTGCCGCCCTATTAATGCAAATGGAAAGCTATAAACCCATGCAATGTCAGCGCATGGCAAACACAAGCAGCAGTGAGTGCAATGAACTTGCAAAGGCCTCGAACTCAGCCTTAGCAACGCCCAACAAAAACTCCGAACTGCAGCTAGAGTTGAGCGTAGAGGATAGCTTTCCAGAGCTAGAGCAGGAGAAGGAGCAGGAACAGCAGCAGCAGCAGCAGCAGCAGCAGAGGAACCCAACTGACATCACACTCCCAAAATCGGCCAAGGAATTTGTAAATCAACGAGAATTGCTTATTGGCAGCGCGCGACAATATAAATTACCAAATGCGACGTATCGTGATTTGGAAAGCGAGCGACCACAAAGCGAGAATCGTGTGCCAATTGGGAAGCGAGCAACCGGCGTAAGTGATTCGGCACGGATAAGGGAGGGGCGGCTTCTAGTTACTGCTGCTTACCAATTTGAGTTGTTCACGCTCGATTGGCGAAACGCCCAAAACGTAGCGGTCATAAGATTATCCATAACTATGCGAACGTCTTTACGGCTCGTTGAGCCGTTGCGATTGCACAGAGAGCAGCTGCCACAAAATTTGATTTTAGTTGTCAGAGGCTTGTCAAAGTGTTTCGAGCTGAGCTTTTATCGAGTTGTGAGTGCGTTTTACTTAATTAAATTAGATATTTTTTTGAAATGCGGGTGTTTCATTCGTTTGGCCTGTTTTAAAATATTAAATACAATATAAGAGGAATGTGTCATGTTTGGAATAATGGGTTATATTCTTGATCATCATAGCACCATGTTCATGCTTAGATCTAAAGCAACAAAAAAATAACCAGCATTAGTTTATAATTATAGACATTCCCCAATTAGAAATCTAAATGAATTTGTAATGAATTTTCTAGCTGTTTAACAAGGGCATGAATGAGGCGCTCTCAGCTTAACCTGTTCTGAATATTAATTTGAATAGAACCGTGGGTAGTTTTCATTTTTCACTTTTTCACAATTCACTTTTCAAATTTTGAATTTTTCATGCATCGGTTTCGCTTTTCAGCATGCATGTCTTTAATAATTGCAACGCATGTGCCCTACGAGTATAGCAACATGTTCTATGCCTAACGAGGCTAATGGTTTTTTCTGCTTTGTTATTTTGTCTTAACACAGTCATAATTTTAATTATTAAACAATTGTTTTTTAACTTTGAAGCGTCATGTCCTTCATGTGTTCGGCCACATGAATCTTTAATGCCCTTTACACTATTACTATTCTTGTTTTCTATTGTTGTGTTGTTTTGTTGTTGTGGCTGTTCTTCGTGCTCCAGTTGGCATTTTGGCTGAGTGCTAGCGCCCGTTCGACTGATGAATTTCGTTTACGCTGCTCAGTTGTAATTTGGAGCTCGTTTGTTGCGTTTGTTGCCATTTTATTTGTGGCCTGAACTTGAAAAGTTGTCGAACAAATAAAACTCGTCTAATTAAAACAACAATCAGCCATACACACAAACCTCATAGGTGAGCAGCAGGCGTGGCATACGGACAAATTGTCTTTAATTAAAAAGTGAAATGAAAATGATTCAATTAAAGCTACGAAAGCTAAAATGAAAATGTACGTAGTTCAAGCAATGTATGCAAATAGCCGGTAACTGATGGATAAGAGCGAGCGAGAGAGAAAGACAAAGAGCTTTAAAGAGAAAGGAGAGACATAGAGAGAGAGAGAGAGAGAGAGTTGGGAATAAAATGCAAGCAAAAAAGGCCACATGACTGGCAAAATTGCTGCGTTTTAAAAAATAGTTAACATCTAGCAATGAATACCCTACGCAAATTATGAAATATATTGAGCATATTGAATTGTAGAAGTATTAAGTTCTTAACGAAAATAAAAATAAATAGCTTCATTTAGTGTCGGACATATATATATATACATATATATATATACATATATATATATATATTTATATATATATATATATATATATATATATATAAATATATATATATACACTCTGATATATGCATTTTTTATGATTAGTGCTATCAAAGATATTCGATCCTTATTAGCGTATATAGTATTTATGCTCTCCATTTCATACACAAATATTTGAAAAAGTATGTTTAGCCGGCTTTATGGTTATTTTGTAAGCCAAAATGCTTGCATTTTTAGCAACTCTTTGTGTGCATATTTTTGTGGGGTCAGTGCATGAAAACTGAAAGCGTTTGGTCATGCAATTTCCGTCCACAAAGTGCATTGTGCCATATTTTGTTTGATGTGGTGCGGGACTTGCCGCGGGCACTTAGGCACTGTGGGGTGTTTAGAGGCTGGTCATTTCATCGAAAGCATTTCTTTGGCAATAGCTAATGACATTTTTTATGTCAATGATGAGGTGAGCTAAAAGCTCATCGATACTTTTATAGACCCCTTCTCAGTCTCAGGCACAGGCCATTGCCACTTAAGTCATTAAAACCATAGAAAGGTGAAAAAGGAAAAAGGAACTCGACCTGAACAAGGTCAGTTATATGAAAGTCCTCTAATTAATTGGTCAGTATTGTGTGTGTGTGTGTTTCACTGTGTCTGTGTTTTTGTGTGACCTTTTTACGACTGTACATGATTAACGTCTAGTCGATTTAGATTTTTGCCTTATCGCTGGCTGCACCTAATGAACCTAAATCGAAAAACGTGACACTAAAAGCTTTTCACTACCAATAACAGCACATTTGAATTTTTATTTGTATTTTTGAGTTTCACATGCTTCAAATTTCATGAAATGCCCTTGAACTTATGGTGTCTGCAGCCCTCAGCATAAATGGCCCACAGAGTCCAGGACACGCTGCGTAGTTTTGCACGCATTTTCCTTAGCTTTCACACTTTTCGCGCTCACACAAAAAACGAGTTTACCCACTTAGTTAACCTAATTCGAACGGGACACGCAAAGTCGTGCCCCTAATGAATGAACGTAGTAAAAGTTTGATAACGCCCACACAATGGCTAAATAACGCGTAATGTCCAGCTAAATTTAAGCGAATCCTTAACTTTCTGCTGACAAAGAATTGCAAACAGTTTATAAATCTCAAAAACATTTTCAAATATCTTCTTTTTTTTTTGTCAAATATCGCAAAAAAAGTATGAAATCAGATATATCCATACGAAAATACGGATTATATCGAATGATAAAAATAATAATCTTGTTTTACATTTGCTATAGAAAGCTAGTCTTTGCCTATTATATTTCTGAAGATATGACAGCTAAGCAGATGAATCGGTTTTCCGTCTCACCAAAAAATTAATTTACCTCTAGATATTTGGAATTCCGCTTGGCAAATAATAGTAAATAACTTGCTTAGGGGTAAACTTACTTTAATTTGAGCTCGGCTATTACGTTTCTAGCTCCACTGTGTCTAGGTATTTTAGATCAACGCACCTTAATATAGAACATTGAATAAAAATGTTCATGCCCAACCCAAAGACGAGACGCACGAACTATTTATTTGCACACTTCCACCTACTCACAGAGCAATTCTTGAGCGATTCTTCATATTTTTACAGTATATACGCACAGGCCTATTTTCGTTGAAAGTTTCCTTGACCTGAATAACAAAGTGCTAGAGAATGCTAATTATTTGACTAGTGTTGACGGAATGCTAGACTAATAGACCAATCCCTCGCAGCTAGAATCGTAATACTTACTTCAAATTAGCCTTTAATTATGCTAAGAGCTAAGGTATTTAATCAACTGGCACAAGTTGTCGCTGTCAAGTGATGAAATTGTTAAAACGAACTTTAATTAAAGTGAACATCAAGCTGAAGTCGGCTTGAATGCAAGCACCTAGTCCATATTGTGGAACGGCTGGAACAGCTGAACCTTGTTGATAAACGTCCAAGGGGCAATGCCTTTGGCTTGGGCTGATGACGCAGCTATTGTTGTTGCTCCTGCGACGCCCCTATTCATAATGCTCTTTGTATTGCAATACCCTGTTCCATCAACTTGCCGATGGGTTTTCCATTTACTAGAACAAGGGCATGGTTATTTCTCAGAAGTAGCTTCAAATTTTCAGAATTTTTCAATTGCTTAATTTTCTTTTATATCGTTAAGTCTGCGCTTGAAACTAGTTTTCAATTTTTCCTCGCTTAGCTCTGCAAAATGAAGCGAAGCAAGGCTGTTCACACTTTCAGTCTGATTCGTCTGAATAAAGATTAGGATATTTTGAAAGTCCACCAATTTATATTGCTGAAAACTTACTTGTTTTCTATAACAAAAAAGAAAATCTTATGCCAACGCTGCACGCGATGTTCGTCGTCGACGTCGATGTCAGCGTCGCCGGCATAAAAATTATGTGCCATAAGGTGCTGGCAGTAGGGAATTTGCTGCCCTCGCTGGAGCAGCTCCCGTCACAGGCAATAGGCTGCCCCAAAAAGCAAAGAAACAACGACTGGGCAATAATTGGCAGCCAGAGACTCCAGCTCCAGTCCCTCTCATTAGAGTGCCTACGCACCACCGTAGCGTAAAAATGTACACGAGTTTTCTGCTGGTGGTTAGTGGTGTCGCCAAAAACAAATAATTTATATAATCTAAATACAAACTGAGCGTGTTCTCTCTTTCTTTTGCACAGGATGATATGGAGCAATGGGTTACGGACACATTTTATTCCTATTTTCCAGGCTTCAACAATGAAAATCAGAAACGTCAAAATTATTTGCGTGAGCGACAGCGCGAGAATCAGCAGAACCTGCTTAAGCACCAGGTAAGTGCTATGCACCATAAACTATAAACCATATCACGTCATCCGCTATGGTAATCAGTGTGAAATTATATCCCAGGCCGTGTAATTGATTTATGTTATTTTTAGATGCTGCATCCGCCACTGGTTAAACAGCGAAGACAGCTGAAGCCAACCACACAAAGTTCAGTGCCGACCGGAGAGCAGCTGCAGACAACGGCGCGCTCCAGTCAATCCAGCACAAGCACAAACCATAGCCGAACGGATAAGACTGACCTAGAATTAATTGTAAATAATAATCCCAATTATGTGCCGCCTAAAATACGCACGGCAACGACACGACAGCAACTGCTCCATGATCTTGGTCATGTTGAGCTCTCCAATATTGTCTCCGGCGATGGCATCAACGAGCGCAATATGCGCAGTGCTGAGCTGGAAACGGCACGCAAAAAGGACTATCAACGGGACTTGATGCAGCAAATTGAAGAAAAGCGTCGCTCCATCGAAATACTACGAGAAAAGGAGCGTCGACAGGAGGAGGCGCTGACTAGGTAAATGAAATGATGTTAACTATTTTGTTTGGCTAAATGCAACAGCTTTTGCTTGTCTATTCTTCTTCTGCGTAGGCGTCTAGAGGCACAACTTAAAACAATGCACCTGGAGGAAAAGCTCGAAAAAGAAAAGCAGCGTGCTGAAAAGGTGAGTTCAAAGCCCTCATTTGGCAGCACATCACAATTGTAAAACTAATATTGATTTCTTTATATTGACTATCTTTCTTTGAACCATTCATTCATATATTCATATTGGGTTATATATATTATATATATATTTTTTCTTTTCCACATTTACAATTTGAAATCTTTTATTATTTGTATACCCTGACCTATTAAAAATGTCAGGATTTATTGATTTTATAAAAATGTATGTAAGACTCAGAAGGAGGCATGACAGACCCCATAAAGTATATATGTATATGGATCAACGTATGCCCGTTTGTCCGTCCGTCAGATCTCGTCAGCCACAGAAGCTAGGGACTAATGATATGAAATGCATATTTTTCATTCCTATATTTCTTTCATAACTCATCCCCTTTCCATAATGTCGATAAAAATGGAAATTGGCTTCGTTTTTTAGGCACAGCTTAATACTTCTTATTTACTCCCGTTTCTTTGTAGATTACTGTGTTTTTCATTTCTAATACTACTTAAATTAGTTTCATACTCCTGGTACGTCCCCTGCAATCGCATTGTCTTGTGTTAAGTTATTTCATCATCCATTCCAGTCGCCTCAAATTTTTTAAAATATATTGTTTATTAATGCATTTAGTTTCAAATTATAAATTTCAAAACACTCCAAGTTCTATTCCATTACATTACTTAAATTCCAATCGATTCCATTAAGACTTAAAGATTATTTTTGCTTGGGCCTTGATTTGAATTTATATATTTTTCATACCAACTGTGCTTCTTATTTTATATTAATAAAACTGATAAATCGCTTCAACAGGCACGCATTGAGATGGAACAGAATCGTTTGATGCGCGAAAAGCTGCTAGCTAAACTGGAGGAGGATGCGCAGCTGTTGCATGCCAAGGAGCTGAATAATTCAAAGGATGTCAAAGGCAGCATGAACCACAACAACAACAACGACAACAACAACAGCAATAATAACAACAGTAAAACCAACAAGGTTTACAAATACTTTAGCAATTCGGCGCGTCACGAATACCGACGCGGTCAGCCGTTGCCGCCTGGCGTGGAACTCGATTTTGAATTGCCTCAAATGGCAAAAATAGAACGGGAATGCTTCCATTTGTGCGAGAAGATTTGCCCGCTCTGCGATGAGCCGCTGAAGAGTTATGAGAGCTGTTGTCTGCGTTGCCAGCGTAAATTGGCTTTGAAATTGAAGTCGTCAAGCAGCGAAGCGCAAACAGCTACGAGTGACGAGGCCAACATAGACCCAGCTGCTGCAGTCGATCACAGCTGCCAGAATAGCTTTGCGCTTGTCTGCTTGAAGTGTGAACGCCTGTATGCTATGTGTGGGCAGTGCTTGGTGAAGAGCGATGTTTGCCGCGCCTGCCAGCGAGAGCGTAATGTCTGCATGAATTGTCGCCGCAACCTGTGCTCCTTTTGCTTGGAAGAGATTGCCAGCGGTCGCGATGCTGAGCGCACACATATCAATGAACAGCTGGACCGTGAGCCGCCAACGGATGATGCGTTTCGCGTGCTGGAAGTGAATTGTCCGCCGGCAGCAGATAATACCTGCTCAAATCTAGTGAATACCACACCACCGCCGTACTCTTTTAATATATCTCCCAATTCGGTGTTTCATGAGGACTATAAGGCCACGCCCGTGAAGCCATTGCAGCTGGATCAACGAGAGTTGCCTGCCGCCTCGGGCAGTGCGAGCAACAGTTTCGAGCTTGACAGCGCCGATGAGCAAGCCATGAAGCGTGTTAGACGTCAAACGGATCAGCGGTTGTCGCGTTATCTGAAAAACTATGGAGACTTGGCAGTCAAGCAACAGCAGCAGTTGGACCTGCGGAGCAAAAGTGAATCCCGTCATCGTGGCACACAAACAACACCACAATCATTGGGACGCCGCGATATCGTTCTACACGAGACGCCCACGCAAAATCTATCGATGCCTCTACTACGTGAAATGCCTAAAATGACGCGCAAGGAGTCGGGCATAACGCTGGACGAAAATCGTCAGCACCAAAAAATGGATAATCTCAAGAAACGCTGGGAGGTGTGTATTATTTCATAGAAAATCCATATAGAATCTAACCATTTTTAATTCTAATTAGGTGCCTGTCGTGCAGAAATTTACTTTGTCCACATCGTCACCTAAAATCCTGACTCAAGTGGGCGCAATACGTAAACAGCTGCAGGCTTCGCGTTTCTACGATGATGTCCAGGACGAAGGCGCCGACTACTGAGTGTAAGAGCTAACAGCAATTTTTCTGCAATTTTCAAGAAAAATTGTCGACGTTTAGTTGATTTTCAGTTCTAATTATTTCAGCAATAATACATTTTTATAGTGCACATATACCTTTCACGTTTTCACTACCTCATTTCATATTGTCATTGTCATCATTTAATTTAGTTAACAGTTTGAATGTGGTTGAAAATATATATTATATTTCGTTGTAAAGATTGTAACATATTTTAAAAACGATATATATATACCTTTTGAATTTATTGTTTATCACTTATCACTTATTTCCCATTTTTATTTCATTTCCTATACTTAGCTTACCAAAAAGTAATCACTGAGATATTTATTAATGATATATGATACCATGTGCTTCTGCTGTTATGCAGCTATTAAAGTTATGTAATACTTAAGCATAAAGTTTGTTAATGTTTTTTATATACATATACATTTTAATTAAAAGAAATTATATTAAATTAAACTGTTAATTGTGTTTCAACATTTTAGCTGTCTCTAGGGAATTTATAAATGAATAAATATATACAATTTATATTACGCAACTCGACTCCTGTTTGTCAACCTAATCTGATACAGCTATATTATGTTTTGTTTTGGTGCTTGACACTAACAATTGTTTACAAATGTTTATACATATTTTGTATAGCTAAAATTGGCAACAAAAGACGACCCCAAATTGTAGAAATGTATAGGAATATCGAAGGTGCATCCAAGTTGATTTAATATATAATGTAATATATAATATATAATATATAATATATAATATATAATATATAATATATAATATATAATATATAATATATAATATAATATATAATATATAATATATATATATATATATATATATATATATTTATATATATATAGTATAATATATAGTTTTTAATTAAGGCCTCACTGGAAAACCTTTGCGCAAAGTAAATAAAATATTGTCATTTTCAGTTATGGAATCGTGATTTATTGTTTTGCTTTCGTAATTGGTGAAACAGACGTATTGTCTAGGGCTTTATTGCATTACCAACGTAGAGGGCGTGGAGCGTAGATAGGTGCGTATTGGGAGTAAGCACCAGCTGATCCATAGCTATTAGCGGGAGCACTGCATGGTACTGGGGCCAAGTTGGGCTGGCAGCTGAACAGATAGTTCTTGGGGCACGGCGGTGCGGGAATGGAGACGGGCGCCGAGTAGGCTGGAGCAGCGGGTGCAGCATAGGCTGGTGCAGCCGGAGCAGCTGGTCCGGCATATGCCTGGGGAGCGGGTGGAGCAGCTGGCTGGCCATAGCCGCCACCATACACGGAGCCCACCATCTTCTCTTCCTTATCGGCGGCGGCGACGGATGTGGCCAAAAGGCAGGCAATAGCCGCGAACACAAAGAATTTCATGTTTAGAGTTAATACGAGTTTTGGATTGTGAGCTGCACTTTGGCAATGGTGAACTGCGATATTGAGTGTAGCAAGCAAATGGGTTTATATAGCAGCCCACGGCTGGGGCCAACAGAAATGCTAAGCCAAGCATTGAGTAAGTTTTAAAACGCGCTGCGCTGATTCAGCTTTTTCCTTGTCAAAGAGAAAAAAACTATTCGACTTTTTATTAAATGTGTATTTGCGTGCATTTTTTTATATTCATTTGTTTTCTATTTCCGCTATTTAAGTATTACAAAATGTTTAAGTAGTTTATATTACCTCTGTGCCTTACTAATAAATCGTATTATTACTGTTTACCTTTATATAGAGGTGGAGAGGAACTTGAAACAGGAAACTGTTCTTGAGCTTAGGCTCTGTTCAATCTGGAAATAGAAAAACTTTCTAATGTGCGTTGTGCTCTATACGTCTATTAACTTCATTACGTATATCTATGTGTGTTCCTTTCCTATGGCAATCGGCTTTTAATATATATATATATAATATATATCTTTGACAAAGGCCAAGACGATTGACTTTATGAGAATTGATCTATGATAGATTACAAGAAAGTGGAATCTGTCTGATTCAAACTAATGAAATGGGTTTGATGAGGCTTTTGGAATTTAGCTAAGGTTTGATTGGTACCTACGCAGCTCATGTTACTGTTATGAAAATTGTTATCGAGATTGAATTATTATATCATATAGCTTCTATACAACAAATCGGCAACGAATTGATATCCACGAAATTGTTGTATATATAGTATTATAATAGAAGTTTGCATGTCGGTTATGAAGGTCAAAATGGATTTGATAATGGAAATTTTATGAACTATCGAATCAACTTGGCATCTGTCGGTATCCGATTGGGAGCCGCTGAGAGCGGACAATCGGAGAGACTACGAAGATGCCATTGCGAACTGTCTGGCTCAAAAAATATGAACCGTTCGAGGAGGTGGAAAAGCTTACAGACTTGTACAGGAAAATGTATCGAGCAAGCTTTGATGGAGGATTGAGGCTGACGTTACTCTGCGATCGAGCTTGGCCGCCCTTGAGGGGCTTCTTGCCGCAGCACTGAAGTTACCACACTGATCAGCGTATTAAATATTAACCCTTTGCACAACTACAATTGCAGAAGCAGCAAGGGTCGTAAGTAAAAATCAATGTTAACCTGACATTTTGTGCAGTACAGGCTTACCAACATTTCTTATACTTCAGAGTTTGCATGTGGGTCAAAGTCTTCTATTAACACTTTGCAATTGGAGCAGCAGTATCCACAAAAGTGTGCCGCACACAGTTACACACTTTCACACACGTGCTCACATACACACTTATCGGTGCAGCGGAGTTTGATTTTTCGCTTGCCATTGCATTTGCTGAGCTACTTGAAATATAATTTCGTATAAGAGTTCGAATATAAGTAGAGGTGGGTTGTATAGAATCAGAGTAGAAGAGAAATGCATGTGTTGAATATAGCTTGCATAGGGTAAAGGCCCATTGCTTTGCTAGAGCAATATTAAATAGAATATATCTAAAATATGGTAAAGAACATTTAGAATATATATGGAGAGATCTAATATATACCATTTGGATAAATCTAAAAATGTACACTAAGCCAAGATAAGGCATATTTTTATACCATTCCAAATGGAAAATCAAATTATAATGGTTCTGTTAAAGTGTATGTTAAAGGCAACAGGAGGCGTGGCAGACTCCATATATATATATTGAAACTTTTACTAACTTAATGAAAAATATTTTACTTGAAGATTACAAACTTTCAAATTTCAAAATGTTCTTTAATTTATAATGATCTTAAAATTACTACAAGTCATTTCTAATACCAGATCTATGGTATATAACATATACCTGTCAATCCTTTTAATTACTATATAACAATTTATTCCAGATCCTGCTCTTAGGGCTTCATTACAAAAAACTATTGGCCTTTCACTTTAAGCCTTTTATGAAGTATACAAAATTTTTCACTGTATTCGATTCAGTACCGCTTTGGTTATTAGTGATCGTGGGTCCATCCAATTCACCCACCAAAATGAGAGGATGGTTCGGATCGGTCTTCAAATGGCCTTTTAAGTCCACATCATTATCCATTTGAATTTCAATTTTATCCACATTCTGTTTAATCTTGCCCTCCTGATCGTTGTACTCCTCGCTGGCCAGCAGCTGTCCGTAGGCCTTCAGCAGATTATGCTCCTCAGATTTCTCTAGGAAATTCAGCAATTCTGTGATCGTCTTATCGTGCTTGTGTGCCTGCTGTGCACTGTAAGGCGGAGATTTTCGCGTTGAAAACTGCGCGCGATAACCTGATTTGTTGTCCAGCGGTGTTAGCCTTACGCGATACCAATGCTGATCTGTCGGATCCTGGCCAAGCAGCGCATACTCAAATTGTGAAGTGGGCGTGGTGTTGGGCATGGTGTCCATCTCCCCTAGTCGATCAGTGGTAACTACTAAGCTGTTATTGTAGCTGGTTGAGTTAGCCAACTGATCGGGTTTGTAGCTAGAATGATAGGTTGGATGGCTTAAATATTTACAAATTACGTTAGAGTACTCGAAGAGTATTGAACCATTAGACGCCCTACATATCTTGAGGATAGTCGGAGATAGTTGAAGATGATTACACTTGGCTAAAAATATGTTTGCTAATATAGAGAAATGCAGCTCAACATTTTTAATATCTTATACAAAGGCATTGACCCTACTAGATTTTTAAACTAATTTTCAACAGATAAACTAACGCACTAGATGGAGTATAAATGGGAATATCTAACAAATAGATACTTCCGATTATATAATTCAGGAACTGCAGGATGACTTCGTATCTATTGATTTACAGTAACTGCAATATACTCTATGATATAAGAAGAGTTTGACTTCCAAAATAATTTGAATTTTAGGTGGGAGTGTCTAACAATCATTGATCAAATCAAATAACCATTTTCGTATAATATTTCGTAATCGCCTTCAAAACTGTGCACTTACCCCAGTTGGTTGTAGCGGGGCTCGTCAAAGGGCAGCGTTAGAGCCAGGCCAACAGCCAGCAGTGTATAAACGATAGTGCTCAGTGTACGTTGATTGAACATGTTCCCAACTATTTGCTGACTGGTGCTCATTTGTGGCTTGTAGTTTGGCTTTTATAGCCACAGCATTAGATTCGGTTTACGGCATTCAATTTCAGTTGCGGGCTTCGAATTCGACGTGCAATGCGACTTGAAAATGAAGCTGCGACTATAAATATTTTTTGATTCTACAATGGAAATGCACAGATAAGACTCTGTTGTTTTTCTATAACATAAAATCCAGGTTTCGTCACGTTTGGAGCGACGGCATTTAGATTTAATTATGGACAAGCAACTGATCTACATTTTCCGTAACTGGAAGCTAAGCTATATAGAAATGCAGAAGGTTTTGCCATCAGAAACCCTATTAATGTAAAAACATAATTTGATTAATATTCATTTTATAAAATATATAAAAAAAATTTGGTAAAATAACTTGTATTGAATCAGATTTAATTGGAGGCTGGCGCAATTGAAGACGAGTAACTGACATTAAGAACATTAAAAAATGTTTCATATTTGCAATGTTCAAGTGCTAAGCTTTAATCTGTGGAGTTATATCATTCACAGCCAGAACCATCAAATGTTCGATGATTTGATATTCAGACTATCTACTCTGATGTAAGCTCATATTTATAGTTTTAGTTAGGTTAGGTTAGGCTGCGATCAGTTTTTTATACCCTGAAATCGGGGTATAATGGTTTTGTGCAAATGTATGTAAAAGGCAGAGGGAGGCGTGGCAGACACCATAAAGTACAGATATTCTTGCTCAGGACAAGTTGAGTCGATTGTCTATCTGTCCTTCTGTCTGTCCATTTGTCCTTATGTGTGAACGCGCCGCTCTCACCAACTATGAGAGCTAGAGACTTGAAATATTGATTTGTAGGTCCATGTATAATAATCAAATATTCCAGTTTTATTGTTATCGATAAAAAAAGATCAAAATGCAGTTATTTAATTATATATCGCATATATATCTTCGTTTGGCAATGTTGGTTCGAATCTTTTTTTGTTTTTTTTTTTTAATACTCGCTACAAAATATTAAAATACGCAGATAGGACTGGGATCCGGGTATCTCCTAGTCGAACACCCCATCTAGAGCTTTCTTAATTGTTTAATAAAGAAATTATCTTTTGGTGCATGCCTTGTTTTCGCATCTATCAAATCAAATCTTATCTTTTAAAACAAAGTTAATAATTTTAACCTAACGTGGAGTATTCGACCTCCACTCAACACAGCTTGTAAGACTTGTAAAGTGATCAGAAGCTTTTGTAAATGTTCCGTTAAGTTTTTAGTCAAGCACAAATAATATTCTAAGAGCAAAAATGCAAAAGACTTTGAGATGCAAGTGAAATTTGAACTTTTGACAACTTCTTGACTTGAATTGCATTTTATTAGAGGCTAACAATTGTTTGCTTCAGGAAATGCCACTTACCAACAGTCACTTCCGGTCCCCAAAAAAGGTTGAATAGAGCAAGTAACATTTATTGCTATCTCAGTCAGACGCATGCTCAATGCGAAGAAGAGCGTTGCCAACACCAATTTTGATATTATTATCAGTGAAATTGGCGACCTTTGCTAATGGTCTATGAGCGGGTGGTGATTGGGTGGCCTTTAACTAATAAACACAAAAATACTTTCACTTTAACTAGCCTGCGTACTATGCGCGTGCTCTCTCGCTCGCCATGACAGACGTGTTCTCTCTGTTTTTCTCTCTTTTTACTCTCGCTCTTTCTCTGTGTGCAGCTAGGCGCCAGCTCAGCTGTTGTTGTGGGCGACATTGCCATTTGCCTGTTGGCGTGCAAGCGTTTTGGCAATTTGCGCGCGCATTGACCAACACTGTCACACGCACGTATAACACACATACGCAATGTTGTCCATGAAGCAGCAGCAGAAGCAGGAGCAGCAGGAGCAGCAGCTGCAAAGCTCTATCGCCTCGACTCAGTTCGTTTGGCTTTTGGTTCGGGCAAAGTTTTTGCAAAATTCAGTAGACAATCTTTCTTCATTTCGTTAACACACACAGACACGCAGCACACTAAAAAAACTTGCTTCAAACCTTCAAGCAACAATAACTTAAAGTATAATCTAAAAAATAAATTAATAATAAATTAATAAAAGGTATATACATAAATACACACACACATATATATTTATATATATATATAAATAAATATATATATATATATTAAATACTAGTGCTTAAAGAGCTTAAACTGTGCATCTGTCTAACGGTCGTGTTTAATATTTAATTTTTATTAATCTTATTAATAACAATGCAATAAAAATAACTACAGATTGTGTGCACTTCCGAACAAACATATATACATATATTTGTATATATATTTAAAAATATTTTCTGCCGTACGCGTCCTCTGCGTATCCTTGCTGGGCTTCTGCTAGCCACGAATCGAGAGTACGTAAAAATAAAAAATGTATCTCTTATCAGTGAAGTTATGTGCAAATAAGCTGATAAAAAGCTATCAATTGTAGTGTCAACCAAATAGCATGAGTTTAGCCAGTTCTATCTCGACTCTAAGTCTGACCGTGAAATAGTTGTTTTATGTCGCTAAAGAAATTGGTTTTTATCATATGCATATTTATCCAGCTAACTATTGCTTATAGAGTAATTATTATTTACATGGCCTATACACAGTTTCCACTAATAATGACATTATAATTGATATATTCCCCTGTTTGTCAAGTAGCGAGGCATGTCAAGCACAACAAGTATTGAGCAGACTTTAATATTTAGCTATAGTAATTCAGATAAGTTATTTACACTTGTGTTAATTTAATTAAGTTAAGTTAATTAAGTTAATTTTAATTTATTTTTGCTTAATTTCCATATATCAATATTTTATATCTATCATTTTTCAATCAAAACATTGAATAAACGTTTTTTTTCTGAAATGCTGATTTTTTAGTTTTATTTATTAATTAATTTTGTTTCTTGGCTGTTAATATTTAATGTAATTTTTAAAAAATCTATCTATACTGTAAAAAAAGGTTTAATCTATATTTATATTTAATATACTATTCTGTATTATTATTTATTATAAGTAATTTTAGCGTGAATATTGAAACAATTTTAATATTTAATTTACAGTTTAATTTATTATATAATATTTAATTTTCAAGCAAATATTTGTAGTTCATTTTTTAATATATATATATATATATTTTTTTTTTAATATATATATATATATATATATAAAAAGTGTACTACAAATAGTTGCTCGAAAATATTAAAGATGTTTTGACTGGTAAACCATATTTATTTATATTATATTATTTTCAAATCAATCGCAAAAGCTTTAAAGATATTTTAAAATAATGTAATATAATTAAATATAATATTCCTGTCACAACTTCTTTAATTCGATTAGTTTTGGTGGTTTTTCATAGACTTTTCTAGTTTTTCTTCACATTTTATGTCTGGTGTTTTTATTTTTAATTAAAATAAATGTTTGGCTGATGTCGAGTATAGAATTTACGTAGCCTGCGTGTTCAAGTAGCGTGTAAAGTAATTTACCCACCCTGCAAAAGCTTCGTGGACGTTTAGTTTTAAGCAGAAAATAAATAAACAATCGCAAAAGACACGACCAAATGCCAAAAAGTCCTTCAAATGAGCTAAGTTGAGTTTCACTTCAGTTAGTATAGTAAAAAAAACAAATTGTAAGAGAAAAGTGAGAGAAGAATAGAAAATAGAAATTTTTACTTTCGTTTTTTGCTGCCCCAGACTTTCGCTGTTGCTGTTGTTGTTGCTTAGGTTAGGTTAGGACACATACATACAAATAGATGGATTGCCATGCATGTATGTCTCACACATAGGTGGGTCTAATACCTGTGTGTGAGTGTGTTTGGTGTCAAATCGTCCTTCAACCATATTTTACAGGGCAAACCTTTACTGCCTTCTAAGCAATTTTAAAAGTTAACCTTAATATTTACACTTGTTCACAAACTGAAAAGACCATATTAGCTTATGCAGTATTCGTCTGTCTGCTACTTATGTGTATTCTCACTTGATCATTATATTTGGATACGCTAACTGGGAGCGTGTTAAGCGAGCATTCAGTTTGTCTTATATTACAGTCGTGGTGTTATCAAAGTTATAGGGATCAAAATACAAGCTCGTGTGTCAAAAAGAGAAAAATATGAAACTTGTATAGCTTCGCCCATTGAGATACGTAAAATCACACAGAGCTATATTTGTCTCATTCTGTGCCATGTTCAGCAGGTGGATTACTGTGAATATATAACTGAATAACTTAAAATATGTAAATACATATGAAAGCAATCTCTATTATATGCACACCAACTTTATTTATCTATTTAGATATTTTTTTGTTTATCTTAAGTTAACAGATAGTGTGTCTAGCTTTCACAGTGAATACTTTTCTTATCTTATTATTATTTGGCTTCAAATTATTTTTAC